CACACAGATTCCGACGTCTGATGGTGGCGAGGGCGCCGACTGACCTCCGACGACGCGCCCCGCGCAGGCCGCCTCGCCAGCCGCGCCGGCCCCTTGTCGAGGTGCCCTGGCGTGGAGGCGCACCAGACAGAGGGACCCGCTGGGAAACCAGAAGGTGCTGGTGAGGAGACCTCGTGGACGAAGTTCACGGGTTCTCCTTAGTCAGCTACAGCGGTGGCGTCAGCGCGTGCGAGAAGGGCGAGCAGTGGCAGTGGGCGCTGGCGCTGTTGAGCGAGATGCGGGAGGTGAAGCTGGAGCCTAACGTCATCTTCTCTACAATGCAGGGACCCGTGCGTGCGGGAAGGGTCCCTGTCTTGATGGGCGTAAAATGCCCCACAACGGCTCCGGGGACGCCCCAGAGGCGCTCACGCGGCCCCAGAGGCGCCCAGGACGGCCCCAGACACCCCCAAAACGGCCCAAGAGCGCTCCAAGAGAGCTCCAGACCGCCGAAAACGGCCCCGACAAGGCCCAGGAGGCCTCCACGACGGCCCCAGAGACGCTCAAGAGGCGTCCCAGAATGGCCCCCACAGGTCCAAATCATTGTTTTTCCAATGAAAAACGTCACATTTTAGCACATACTGCTTGTCGGGAGTATGGCGCAGAAGATGGGGCAAGAGGCCCCCACGACCGCCCCAAGACGGCCCAAGAGGCCCCCCAGAGGCACGAAAACCGGCCCGCGAGAGCGTCCAGAGACCCAAGAGGCGCCCAACACGGCCCCCAGGCGGCCCCAAGAGGCTCCCAGGAGGCGCCCAGGACGGCCCCAGACACCCCCAAGACGGCCCAAGAGCGCTCCAAGAGAGCCCAAGACTGCCGAAAACACACCCAAGACGGCCCAGGAGGCTTCCGCGACGGCCCCAGAGACGCCCAAGAGGCGTCCAAGGATGGCCCCCAGAGGCGAAAATCATTGTTTTTCCCGAGGAAAAAACGCTCACTTCCAGCATGCGCTGCTTCACGAGAATATGGCGCAGAAGCTGGTTCCAGGTCCCCACGACCGCCCCAAGACGGCCCAAGAGGCCCCCAAGACGCACGAAAACCGGCCCGAGAGGGCGTCAAGAGAGCCCAAGAGGCGCCCACAACGGCCCCAGGGTGACACCAAGAGGCTCCCAGGACGGCCCCAGGTATCCCCAAGACGCTCCAAGAGCGCCCCACGACGAGCCAAGACTGCCTTTTGCGGCGCCAAGACGGCCCAAGACGCCTTTACGACGGCCCAAGAGACGCCGAAGAGGCTTCCCAGGAGGGCCCTAGGAGGGCCCCGAGACGGCCCAAGACGCACCCAAGACAGCCCCAAGAGCAGTTAACAATGGCCCAAGACGGCCCCACCGCCCCGTCTCCATCCAAGACGGCTGTAGATGCCCCCACCGCCCCGTCTCCAAGCCTTTCCGTTTGGACAGTCTCCAAGACGGTCTCTGGGCCGTCAGGGACGGCTCCAGAGGCGCCCGAGACGGCTCAAGAAACACCAAAGACAACCCCAAGAGCGCGCAATATTCGCCCAAGATAGCTCCCAGACTGTCCCAAGATGCCGAGAGGCGCCCAAGACGGCCCCACATCGCCCCAAGACGGCCCAAAACGCACTCAAGATTGCCCAAGAGGGCTTCAAGAGACCCCCAGGAGGACGAAAAGCGCCCCCAAGCGGCCCCCAAGAGGCGTTAGATGCTTCTCTCTTGGGGAGCGTCGAACTTCCAGTATCGTCTTGGGGGCTTCCTGGACCCACTGCGAGCCATCTCTGCGCCATTTGGGGACGTCTTGGGGTGGTGCGCTCGAAAGGTCGATTCGTGTCCTCGCACTGGGGCCCGTCTTAGGGAGTTACGTCTCGCCGCCCTCTTGCGGGCCTCTTAGGCCGCGCCCATTGGCCCCATTGTCACCACACTACCACATAAAATTATCATTCGGCCCCGGCGAAGAGCAGATAACTTCTCACGGCTGCCCTCCCCGCAGAAGCTATGATGAACACAGACTGCGGCGTCAGAAACAGCTGTCATGCCTACATGGGTGCGCTTCCATTGACACCGCCTCCACCACCGCGTTCCTGCCTTCAGGCCTGCTTGCCTGCATCCCTCGCCAACTTCCCCCTCCAGCGGCCACCTCCTCCATCCACACCGTCCCCTCCAACCTCCCCTTACCCGCGAGGCCCCAGAGACGCTCCACTTCCACGTCCAAGCCATGGCGGGCAGATTCCGCGGCCGGAAGGCCGCTGGTCAGCCCTAGTCAGCTACAATGCTGGGATCAGCGCGTGCGAGAAGGGCGAGCAGTGGCAGCGGGCGCTGGCGCTGTTGAGCGACACGCGGGAGGTGAAGCTGGAGCCCAACGAAATCAGCTACTGCGCTGGGGTCAGCGCGTGCGAGAAGAGTGGGCAGTGGCAATAGGCGCTGGGCATGCTCAGAACCATGCGTTTGAAAAAGTTGAACGCTAACTTCCTGGTCTACGGAATTACAGCCGGCATGTGCGAGCAAGGCGGGCATTGGAGCCAAGTGCTGTTTTTTTCCGGGAAGTGCATGTCCTAGTCAGCTACAGCGCTGGACTCAGCGCGTGCGAGAAGGGCGAGCAGTGGCAACCAGCGCTGGCGCTGCTGAGCGAGATGTGGGAGGTAAAGCTGAAGCCCCACGTCATCACTTCTACAATGCAGCGACCTTTGCGTGCGAGAAGGTCCTCTGTCCCGAAAGGCCTCCTGGGCCCTCCGGGGCGCCCTACGAGCCCCCCGGGCGCTCCGAGACGGCTCCGGGGGGCCCCAAGGTGCCGCAAAACGGCCCCAAGGCGCCCTACGAGCCCCCCGGGCGCTCCGAGACGGCTCCGGGGGGCCCAAGATGCATCAAAACGGCCCCAAGACGGCTCAGAAACGCTCAAGAGGGTCCGCCGGACGCTCCAAGAGGACCCCGCGCGAGCCCCAGGATGGCTCCAGAGGCCTCCAAGGCAGGCCAGCAGGCTCCCGAGACGGCCCAGGAGGACCCCCAGGAGAGCCCCAAGAGGCAGAAGTCGTCCCATTCCTTTCAAAACATATGTTCTTTCCTGTGTCCATTCTTTTCGTCTGCGCAGTCTCTAAGACGGCTGTACAGACCCCCAAGACGCCCCCAGGAGGGTTCCAAAGCGGCCCCAGACGGCCCCGGGACGGTTCCAGAGGCGCCCCAGACGGCCCAAGAGGCCCCATGCATCACGGTTTCACGGGCAATTGCAAAGGCCAGCGTGAGATCAAAGGAGGGTCCACTTTCACTGTGCGCAAGAGGTCGCGCGACGGATTTTACCTGGCTGCCCACAGTCTTGTCTCTCTCTCGGGCCTTCGGGGGCCCCGTCGGGGGCGACAAGGGATCGGTTCCCTGTTGGGTCCCCCGGGGGCCCCGCTGCTCCGAGGGTTTGGGCACCTTTTCTCGAAACGGGCGGTTGCCCCCAGGCTGGCCTCGGAGTCAGTGCTGCTCGCGTTTGGCCTCCGCCCCCGAGACGAGGCGGAGGCACTGGGCCGCCAAGCTTCGGTGGACCGTGCAGCTGCCCAGGCCGAGCGCGCGGCGAGAGCCGACGATGCGGGCGATGGGTGACGCGGGGGTGGATGGTGCCCTGCCGGTGGGCCCTGGCTGGGATGGCGCCACCCTGCCGGGGAACAACCAGAGCTTTTTTGGGGGGGATGGGCAGACCCCCAGTATTCCTTTCTCTCTTTCTCTCCCCTTTCCCTTTCCCTCTAAGGGCAGAGAACCTTCTCCTCGTCCTCCTCTTCCTCCTCCTCCTCCTGAACTGAAAACTACCACAGGACGCGCGAAGCGTGCAGGGAATGCTTGCACCCTCCTCCTCCTCCTCCTCCTCTTCCTCCTCCTCCTCCTCGTGCTCGCCTTCATTCCCCTCACCCTCTCCTCCTCTCTTGCCTGCACACCTGCATGCCCCGCCGCCTCTCTGACCCACGGCCGATCAGGGGTGACAGAGGAACTTCCACGACAGCAGCCCCGGAGAGTACCCCAGGACCCAAACAAGGCCCCAGTAAACCTCTCTCCACGTTCTCATGTCCCCTGTATGTGCGCGCTTCGGGCCAACTCTTCGACCTGCCTGCCGAGGATTTGTCACGGATGCACACTAGTCTTACCTACCAGCGAAGGGTTGGGAGTCAAAAGGCTCCCAAATCGTTCCGGAACGGTTCTTGAGCCCTCGGCGAGGCCCGTACGAGATTTACCACGAAGGCACCGTGTTAGATGTTGTCCGCGGCTTCCACGTTAGTCGAAAACGCCTTTCGAGACGGCCGCGAGCGCTCCAAGATGCTCGAGAGCGCCTGAAGACCGCCCCAGAGGCCTTCAAGAGTCCCCCCAGAAGCGCCTGGAACGGCCCAGGAGCATGGAGATGACCGCCCGAGGAGGCCGAAATCATGGTTTTCGTCTCATGTGATTAATTCCTGGATCTCCCCGAGACGCCCGAAGACTGCCCAAAACGCCCCGATGAGAGCCGCGGCATGGCCCAGGAGCGCTCCACGACAGCTCCAGAAGCGAGGGAAAGACCTCTTGCGGGGCGGCGTCTGAGCCCTCGGGAAGAGGAGGGCGATCTGGAACGCAAGGGCGGCGTGTTGAGTTCTATCCGTGGCCCAGGGTTCGGGCGCTGCGGCCTCTGCACCCCTGCCGTGGACCGTGTGTAGTCATGTCCGCGGCCCGGAGGTCGGGTGATGAGGCCTCGGCACGCTGGCCGCGGACAGAATGTGACGTGCCGCGCCGACGTCAAATATCGTCCTCTGGGCAGCAACGCGCGCCGACCCAGAACTTCTCGCACCCGACGCCCGAGACCACCGGCGACGCTGGCTGCACCGCCTCCCCGCTCTCCAACAGACGCCCGAGGCTGGCGGCTCGCGGCGAAGGGGGCAGCGGTAGTGCCACTGGGCGGTCCCGCTGCTCAGCGAGATGTGGAAAAAAGGCATGGGGTCGAGTGTTGTTCGAGTGCGCCGGGCGGCACCGCCTAATTATTCCCTCCGTAAGTGGGCGTAGTCCACGGGTTTACCCTAGTCCCCTACAGCGCTGGGATCAGCGCGTGCGAGAAGGGCAAGCAGTGGCAGCGGGCGCTGACGCTGCTGAGCGAGATGCGGGAGGCGAAGCTGGAGACAGACGTCATCGGTACTACATATCTGGCCTCGGAGCGCTACACGACGGCTCCAGCGGCTCCCCCGATGACCCCATGACGGCGTCTGGCGGCCCCAGGGCAGCTCTGATGCGCTCAAGTCGGCGCCAGGACGGCCAAGAGAGCCCGAGGGTAGCCCCATGGCGGCCCGAGAAGGCCCGAAGACCAGAGACAACTTGGCATCGCTCGGACGTGTGCATTGTTTCTCGGCGAGATCGAGAAGCTTTTTGGGTAGTCTCGCGGAACGAAACCAAACATGCACGGGGAGTGGATGTCCGAGCGATGGCGAGAGAAGGCTCTACACACGTCCCACGAGGACCAGACGACGGTCCGACGAGGCCTAAATCTTACAATGTCCTAGAGTGTTGAAGGTTTGTTAAGGTCCTCGCCATTTCGGACCCAAAACGGCCCCACACGTTTCCAGGTCCATCCAGATCGCCCCAGGACGGCCCAAAAGGCCCGGAAAAGGGCACCAAGACAGTCCAGGAGGGCACGAAGACGGCCCGAGAGAGGCCCAAGACAGCCTAACAGAGCTTCAAATGGCCCCCCAAAGACACCACCAAGGGGGCCCCAGGAGCTGCCCAAGAGGGCCCAACACGGGCTCCAAGACGGTCCGAGACCACCAACATTCCAAGTGGGCCCCGAAATGTCCCAGAAGGGCCCCGAGAGCTGTCCAGAAGGACCTCCCCGAGATGCCCTAGAGCCTCCCAACAGACTCCGACAGTTGCCAAGGAGCTCACCACTCCAGCCCCAGCACCTTTCGCTTTTGGGGGATTCCCAGAAGCTCCAAGGAAAAGACCCAGACCCCGAAGAGGCCCGAGACCATACCAAGATGCCCCAGAGCCCTTCAAGAGACTCCGATAATTGCCAAGAAGCACCCGAGAGAGCCGCCAGTCCCGACAACTTTCGCCGCTTCTGGAACCCGTAGCCTGGCAGAAAACCGCGAACCCCAGACCGCTCTCCATGGTATGCTCTCGTCGCTTCCCTCCTCCTCCTCCTCCTTCTCCTCCTCCCTCCTCCTCCGCCCCCTCCTCCTCGTACTACTACTTCCCAGGTTCCCAGAAGGGGTCTCAAAATCGAACTATACACCACCACTCAGCCTCACGAATCGTCCCGTCGCTTTGCGGACCCTCTCGTGCTAGGCTGAGTATGCATATTTTGTCGGCGTCTTTCCATTCCCCGTGCATCCTAGCGTCCAACTGCTCCACCTCATCTTGTGGGAGGAGGGGGGAACTCCTCGAATTTTGAACTGCACACAGCCCTGCGGGGTCGGAGCCAGGGGGATACGTACAGCGCTCGCCACCTCGAACCGACAACAGTGCCGCACACAGGGCAGCGGAAATCGGCGCCCACACATCGTCGCGCTGAACACCTCCAGTTATGCTTCCGCATCTTATGGGCGAGCGAAGCCTGCGAGGTGGCAAACGCGGGGGGGGGAGACATACCACCGCACACACACACACACAACACACAGCACACACAGACACAGGCACAGACACAGACACACACACACACACACACCACACACACACACACGCACGCACACGCACACGCACACGCACACGCACACGCACACGCACAGGCACAGGCACAGGCACAGGCTCAGGCACAGGCACAGGCACAGGCACAGGCACAGGCACACACGCACGCGCACACGCACACACGCACACACGCACACACGCACACACGCACACACGCACACACGCACACACGCACACACGCACACACGCACACACGCACACACGCACACACGCACACACGCACACACGCACACACGCACACACGCACACGCGCACACGCGCACACGCGCACACGCGCGCACACGCACACACACGCGCACACGCGCACACGCGCACACGCGCACACGCGCACACGCGCACACGCGCACACGCGCACACGCGCACACGCGCGCACACGCGCACACGCGCACACGCGCACACGCGCACACGCGCACACGCGCACACACGCGCACACACGCGCGCACACGCGCACACGCACACGCGCACACGCGCACACGCACACGCACACGCGCACACGCACACGCACACACGCACACACGCACACACGCTCACACGCACACACGCACACACGCACACACGCACACACGCACACACGCACACACGCACACACGCACACACGCACACACGCACACACGCACACACGCACACACGCACACACGCACACACGCACACACGCACACACGCACACACGCACACACGCACACACGCACACACGCACACACGCACACACGCACACACGCACACACGCACACACGCACACACGCACACACGCACACACGCACACGCACGCACACGCACACGCACACGCACACGCACGCACACACGCACACACGCACACACGCACACACGCACACACGCACACACGCACACACGCACACACGCACACACGCACACACGCGCACACGCGCACACGCGCACACGCGCACACGCGCACACGCGCACACGCGCACACGCGCACACGCGCACACGCGCACACGCGCACACGCGCACACGCACACGCGCACACGCGTACACACGCTCGCACGCGCACACGCGCACACGCGCACACGCGCACACGCGCACACGCGCACACGAGCACACGCGCACACGCACACACGCACACGCGCGCACACGCAAACACGCGCACACGCAAACACGCGCACACACGCACACGCGCACACGCGCACACGCGCACACGCACCCACGCGCACACGCGCACACGCGCACACGCGCCCACGAGCACACGCGCACACGCACACACGCACACGCGCGCACACGCAAACACGCAAACACGCAAACACGCAAACACGCAAACACGCAAACACGCAAACACGCAAACACGCAAACACGCAAACACGCGCCCACGCGCACACGCGCACACGCGCACACGCGCCCACGCGCCCACGCGCCCACGCGCCCACGCGCCCACGCGCGCACGCGTACACGCGCCCACGCGCCCACGCGCCCACGCGCCCCCGCGCCCCCGCGCCGTCGCTCCCCCGCCCCCACGCTCCCCCGCTCTCCCGCGCCCCCGCGCCCCCGCGCCCCCACGCCCCCACGCCCCCACGCCCCCACGCCCCCACGCCAACCACAACACACGCACACACACACACACACACACACACCCGGACACACACACACACACACACCCACACCACCCACACACACCCACACACACCCACACACACCCACACACGCCCACACACACACACACCCACCCACACCACCCACACCACCACACCCACCACACCCACCACACCCACCCACACCCACCCACACACCCACACACCCACACACCACGCACACCCACACGCACCGCACACGCAACGCGCACGCGCACGCGCGCACACGCACGCGCACACGCACACGCACACGCACACGCACACGCACACGCACACGACACACGCACACGCACACGCACACGCACACGCACACGCACACGCACACGCACACGCACACGCACACGCCACACACACGCACGCCCACGCCCACACGCCCACACGCCCACACGCCACGCTCACACGCACGCGCACGCACACGCACACGCACGCGCGCACACGCACAACGCACACGCACGCACACGCACTCGCACTCGCACTCGCACTCGCACTCGCACTCGCACACGCACGCACACGCACACGCACACGCACACGCACACGCACTCGCACTCGCACTCGCCCTCGCACTCGCACTCGCACTCGCACTCGCACTCGCTCTCGGACTCGCACTCGCACTCGCACACGCACACGCACACGCACACGAACAGGCACTCGCGCAGGCACTTGCACACGCACACGCACACGCACACGCATACCCATATGCACACGCACACGTACACGCACACGCATATGCACACGCACACCCACACACACACACACACACACGCAGCTCACACAAGGAAGGATGCGAAGGAGCAGGGGTGGAGGTTCTCACGGGGGCCGAATCGGCCACCGAGTCGGTATGAAACAGCTTCTGCACCAGCGGGCTCCACGAGGAGCCGAACTCCATGAGAAATTGGCCTTTAACCTTCGGTTTTCACTGGGAGAAACTGGCGAGAGACTGGGCTCAGGGAGAAAACTGGGCTCGTGCAAGCGCGTGAGGTCTGAACAGGTCAACTCCGCCCAGTAAAGCTGTCGGCCTGGGTACTGCGTGCGCAGGAGCGCTGACATTTCTGCGGGGCTACTACACAACAGACGCTTGAGGTAGACCAGGCGCGATCTCTGCAGGATGCAATCGACCGAAGGGGCCTGCATACGGACACGGATATCCACGTCATGGTGTTCTACTTGCTCATGGCGGACCTCTCCAAAGATCCTACGCAGCCTTCGCATCATCACACAGTTCAAAGTTCTAATGTATTGCCTGTTCGGAACGATAATGCGTGCATTAAACATAAACACATGAACAACATGGAGAATATGAGTTGAAGCTTCACCCGATCATGAATCACGGGGAAGCCAACGTTCCTGGTCGCCAACCACGAACCAATCAGCTGCTAAAGTCGGATTCTCTTTACGACGGGCGTCCGCGACCCACGTGCTACACAACGAGAGCATGGATCCGAGGTGCCTGTACTTATCAACAGCCTGGAGCCGACGATCACAGCCTGGCACAGGGAACGAGACACATGTGACCTAAACACATTACTACTTCGTGGGCCGCGAAACTGTCCCATCGCCTGGGTCTCGCCTCTCGACCAATGTGTCTCGAGGTTGAGGGAAGCAGAGAGCTCGACAAGAGGCTTCAGCATTCACGGGATGCTTTTATTCAACTTCTTAACCGCCTTACACGCGAGCATCATGCACTCATCATCTGCAAAGGCACAGTCAGTGGCGTGACTCTTATTCTCATTCTCCCCCTGACGGGTGGCCCAGAATTCGGCAGCCGGCGATTCCACCTCGAGGGCTAGCCCCTCATCAGGCAACCTACCTTGAAGGGCGTGCAAAGCAATCGAGTGCACTGCATTAGTGCACCCCTGGCGCCCCCCCCCCCCCAGCTAGGACATGCAACGTGCTCGAGTGAAGTTATGTTGAACCAAAAGTGAGCGTCCAGAGAACACAAGAGCTCACTCACACATGGGTCTATACACCACTGGTCCGTCAGGGGCCCTTTTTTTCTCAAGATGCTCAGGGATACGCTCAGCGATAGAAGTGCACAAGCCAAAAGAGGCAAGGTGAGACATGCGAACCTCGCGATCGGAGGCGACGGTGGACGAGAACCCGAAGGCGAGCTCTCTCACCACCCTGTCGAACGCTTTGACGAGGACGACGAATAATATTCGGACCGACCACCCCCCGTTCTCGGCGTACGCGATCACACGCTGCACGATGTGACTAGCATAGTCGGTGCCACGACGGCGTGCAGCTACGAACTGGGTCGTGTGCATCTTCTCGTTACAGACGGGATCTATGGCACGCTTCATGCGACCGACGAACGACTTCCCCAAGTGGCCAGCCATAAGAATTCCCCGATGATTTCTTCGCTCCTTGTTATCATCGTGCCCTTTGAATGCGGACGCCATTTTGCCTCCAGTCCACTGCCGCGGCCAGCTCATGGTCTCGACGATGTGGTCGTCGATCTGGTTGAAGTGGAGCGCCAGGGACCAATCACCAGCCTGCAGAAGTTCTGTGGGGAGCCCATCGCATCCAACACCTTCGTTGTTGTTGAGCCTCAACAGAGCCTGAGGGGACACGTTCATGCTCGTCGACCTAACCATACTCGATCACGGGACACTGGTCTCGTCATTGTTGTGTTTCTTGCGGAATTCCAGCGGTCCTCCTCCTCCTCCTCTTGCGGAATTCCAGTGGTTCGTCTCGTCTTGTTGATACCATCGATGTGCATCGGTTGAGTTTGAAATGCGTTGTCCTCCTCATCTTCTTCATCCTCCTCCTCGTCATCCTCCTCCTTCTCCTCCGGTGCCTCCACACCCATCTCTTTGGTGCCATTGTCCTCCTTCTTATCGTTTTCTTTCCTCTCACCTTCTCCTCCTCTCATCCCTGCGCACACCAGCAAGCCTCGCCCCCATCCTCCCGCTTACCCTACGGCCGATTAGGTTTGACAGGGGTATCTTCATAACATCGGCCTAAAATGTAGACCCAGATCCCAAGCAAGGCCCCAGAGAGCTTCTCGCCGTTCTTCTCGCTCTTCCCCCTCCTTCTCCTCCTCCTCCTCCTCCCTCTCCTCCTCTGCTTCTGGAGGCCTTCACCCTCTACCCACCCTCGCCTGCTTTCCTCCCAGCACACGCCAGCAAGTCTCGGCCCCTCCCGCCGCACATGGGTGACAGGGGAGACCTCCACAACGCAAACATCCGTTCCTGTTCTTGCAGCATCCCCGCTTCTCTCCTGTCTCTTCTCTCTCACCCCCGGTGCCTCCAAGACGGAGCCCCATGCATCATGCAGCCGAGCGTCCACTTGTTTGCCGTGGAATTTCCACGGGTTCACACTCGTCAGTTACAGCGCTGGGATCAGCGCGTGTGAGAAGGGCGATCAGTGGCAGCGGGCGCTGGCACTGCTGAGCGAGATGTGGGAGGCAAAGTTGGAACCCAACGTCATGAGCTGCAGCGCTGGGATCAGCGCGTGCGAGAAAGGCGAGCAGTGGCAGCGGGCACTGTCGCTGCTAAACGAGATGCGGGAGTCGAAGCTGGAGCCCGACGTCACCTATCTGTTCGAATGCGAAGTGCACCGCGTGCAGGAAATCTGGGCGTCCAAGTGTCTTAAATCTGCCCGGCCGGCCCCAGCGTGCTCCCGGCCCCCCTGGCGCGCTCCAAGACAGCCCAGGAGAGGCTTCCAAGACGGCCCAGACACCGCCAACATAGCCCAAAGAGTGCTTCAAGGGGCCCAAGAAGATGGCTCAAGGTGCTCGAAACACACTCCCAGACGCCACCAAGAGGACCCTCGAGAGGCTCCAGGTGCAAACCGCAATACGTTGCTGATAATGTTCGAAATCGTTGTCGCATGCTCGCTTCTTCGGGTCTCGGGACGCCCAGTACGGCCCAAGAGGCATCACATCGACCCACGATGGCGCAGCAGGCCCCGAGGGGGCCCCAGGACGGCCTAACACGGCTCCAAGACGACCCAAGACGAGCCTGAGGCCGTCCAAGAGCGCACCAAGATGGCACCAAAGCCCAATCCCCCGATCACCCCCGCCCCCCCCTCCCAAGACAGCGCCCAGTGACCCCAAGGGCCGCCCAGATGGATGGCTCCAGGAGGCTCGGGAGGGCCTCGTGGGAGCCAAAGAGCCCCAACGAAAGGTCCCCAGAGGGCCCCAAGATGCCCCCAGGAGGCCTCCGAGAGGCATCCCGAGAGGCCTCTCCTCACAGGGCCCCGGGAGACCACCCCCTCCCGCCGCCTCCCGCCTCGGCTCTCCCTCCTCGCCCGTCTCTCCTCGGCCGTCGCCCTCGGGGATGCTCGCGCTCGCCGAGCGCATCAAGGCACGGGGGCAGGCGGCCAAAGCGGCCTGCTGCTGCTGCTGCTGCTGCAGTTTGCTGCTGTTTCCTGTGGCGTCCTGCCTCGCCCCCCCCAGAAAAAAACGTCCTCGCTCTTCGCTGATCGCTGGTGGCTTCCCCCCCCTCCCTCCCCGATCTCCTCGACCCGGACATCCCCTCCTGGCAGCAGGCTGCGCCAGCAAGCCAGAACGTACCGAGGCACAGCGCCCTGCAGCATCCAGCAGGAGCAGCGAGCGGCAGGAGGACGCAGCACGAAGAAGGCAACATCAGCGACAGCACGCAGCAGCAGCAGCAGCAAGCGGGAGCAGGCAGCGGTCATCAGCACGCGCCAAACAGCATTGGTCATCAGCACCACCCGCCAGCCAACAGCAGCGAATACATTCAGTAGTGGGAAGCATTACCAACAGTACGCAACAGCGGCAGCACGCAGCAGCCTGCAGTAGCATGCGCGGGGTGCCAACGGTGAGCCCCGCGCTATCATGTCAGCCATTCGGCATCATATCCACAATCGCGTGCCAATTCGTGCAGATTACGTCGGCGTAGTCGGCGGGTCAGCCTTCTTCGTCTCTATTACATTGCAGGCATACGCGCGTGCGAGAAAGGCGGGGGTCGGGGAGCTCCGACGCCCCGGCCCCGGGCGGCGCGGTTTAAAGACGCCCCGGGCGGATCCGGAGAGGCTCCGGAGGCCCCAAGACGCCCCCAAGACAGCTCAAGGAGCCCCCGAGACGCCCAAAGAGCGCTCCAAGAGGCCGCCCAGACGGCACAAGAGGCTTGCAAGCGTATTCCCCGAGGGCCCCGAGCGGCCAAAATCATCAATTTTACGACGTTTTGGAAGGATTTTGGCCTTCTCGCCTTTTCCGCTTTCCGACGCTCGAAGACGGCCCAAGAGGCCTCCAAGAGCGCCCCAGAACGGCCCAAGAGGCCTCCAAGAGCGCCCCAAGACAGCCCAAGAGGGCCCCAAGACGACCCAAGAGACGCTCAAGACGGCCCACGAGGGCCCGAAGACAGGCCCAAGAGGGGGCCAAGAGGGGGACCACGGACCGAAAATCCGAGCCTTCCGCACCAGGGCGCCAGGAGGCCCAAACAGGCCCCCAAGAGGCCCCAAGGGGCCGCCAAGAATCCCCCGAAGAGGCCCCAGGAGGCTCCCAAGGAGCCCAAACGAGTCCCCAACAGAGGCCCCAACAGTTTCCAAAATGGCCCCAAAGAGGCCTCGAGCCCGCCTCCGAGCTTCCTCGCCGCGAGGGTGCCAACACGGCCCCTGACGGGCGCAGGACGTCCCAAGGCGCGCTCAAGACGGCCCAAGACGGCTCCAAGACGGTCCCAAGGACGCGCCCAGTCGGGGCCTCAAGACGGGCCAAGATGGCAAGAGAGCCCCAGCTGGCAAAAATCGTTTATTTTCCATTGTTTACTGTTACACCCTTTGCGTTTCCCGCCATTTCGGCGGTCCGATGCACCAAGAGGCCCCAGAAAGTCCCAGGAGCGACCGATGAAACGCCCTGGAAGGCCCCAAGACGGGCCAAGACGGACCCAGCACAACCCAAGGCGCGCTGGGACGGCTCAAGACGGCTCCAAGACAGCCCCAAGAGGGTGCCAACACGGCCCCTGCTGGGCCCAGGACGGCCCAAGGAGGCGCACAGGAGGGGCCCAAGACGGTTCCAAGGCGGCCCCCTCACGGTCCCAGAAGGCTCCAAGACAGCCCCACGATAGTGCCAACAAGGACCCCGATGGGCCCAGGACGGCCTACGGACGCGCCCATGAGGGGCCCACGACGAACCAAGACGGCCCCATCACGGCAAACGGCGCCCTCAAGACGGGCCTAGACGGCTCCAAGACGGCCCTTTGAGGGAGCCAACGCGGCCCCATACCTTTCGGGCGAACACTTGGGGGGGCTGGGAGCTTGCGGCAAGTCTCCCACATTCATTGTCCTGCCCCATTCTGTTCGCCTGGAGGCCTCCTCCAACCCCGTGGGCGAACAAGAGGAAACCCAGCGGGCCGCCAACCCTGGGGCCCGTGGGCCCCGCGCCGCTTGGGCAGAAGACGAACGCCGGGTCTGACAGGCCAGCTACCGCCCCCCTTTGCCCGATATGCTGTGCCATTCTGTTCCCCCAGGGGCCTTGGCAAACTCTTCGGGCCAACCAGAGCGGACCCCTGGGACAGCAGCCAATTGATATGACCCAGGGACCTCTCCGCATGCTTCGGACGAGCACCTGGGGGGCCCAGGAGATTCGGACACGTCTTCCCCATTCCTTGCCCTGCCCCGTTCTGTTCGCCCGAAGGCCTCCACAGACCCTCTGGGCGAACAGAATGGGACATGGCGAACAAACCTTCCCGTTGGCGGTGATGCGACTGGATCGCACCATCGAGGCGTGCCCGGAGGTGATTGCCTACCCAACAACGGTTCCTCTAAAGATTTTACAGAATTTCAGATTTTCTTGAAGCTCTCTTGGGCCCTCCCTGTAGATCCTTGCGAGCCTCCCCGGCGCTTTCGGTGGCTTTCCCCGATGGTCTCCCGAGCCCTTCCCCGGGCGCTCCTGAGACGCCTCAGATGGGCTTCGACTTCGACGCACATCCCCGAAAGACTTCGAAACTGCCCTCAATAGGAGGGGGGTGAACGAGCAGTGCGCTGGGCCAAGCTGCTGGAGCGCTGCAAGAGCTCGGACACGAAGGCGTGGTCTCGCTGCCGCCGCCCGAGCCGCCGCCGTGTTTCTAGATTTTCGGTACAATCTGCGCCGTTCCTCCGAGAACCATTCCAGAAAGATGTCGTGGACGGAGTCCACGGGTCAGCCTTCGTCAGCTACAACGCTAGCATCAGCGCGTGCGAAAAGGGTGAGCAGTGGCAGCGTGCTCTGGCGCTGCTTAGCAGAATGCGGGAGGCGAAGCTGGAGCTCAGCGGCATCAGCTACAGCGCTGTGATCAGCGCGTGCGAGAGGAGCGAGTAGTAGCAACAGGCAGTGGCGTTTCTCAGCAAGATGTTGGAGGCGAAGTTTGACCCCGACGCCATCTCTACTACAATGCAGGGCCCTTTGCGTATCGGAAACATCGGGGCTCGATTGAGCTCCGCGGCTCCCGGGGCACCCCGATAGCCCCGATGCCACCAGGATGACCCCAGCCAGCCCAGGATGGCTTTCCCACAGAGCGCAACACGGCCGAAGTTAGTTGCATGAGTGGAAAGATATCGGCCCTACAAGTTCCAACAAAGCCCACAGAGGCATCCGTGGCTCCCCCAGAAGCTCCCTAGGGGGACCCCAGGAGGGCCCGACGTTGCCACAGTACTACGTCCCGTAAGGTGATTATAAGTTTTTCGTTTTCTCTCATTCGCAGGCTTGCGACAGCCCCAGGCGCGTCAAGCGGCATCCGAGACGGCCCCCGAAGGCTTCCACATGGCCCCAAGGACATTCGAGACGGCTCCCGGACGGCAGCGGAGAGCCTCAGGATATTCTTGGAGATTGCACAGTCGCCGCCTAGAGGCTTCAAGAACGCTCCGACATGCTGTTTCGACCCACGAGGTTTGAAATGGGCCCGAGCGGCCTCCAAGACCCCCACGGGGCATCCCAAAAGACCCCCAGGCAAACCCCAAATGATTAAGAGCAGTCATATCTTGTTATCCTTCCAAGAGTATTGTGGTTGTGGTCTCTCTTTCGCAGGCTTCGGACAGCCCATGACGGACCAAGAGGCCTCCGAGACGGCCCCCGAGCCTCCAAGTTTCCTCGAGAGGCCTGCAAGAAGACACCCAGCAGATCCCGAAGTTGCCGAACACGTTGATGCCCAGTTTGTTTTGTTTCACAGGTTGTTGGATTCTCCACTCCGCAGGCTTCCGACAACACGACGGGCAAAGAAGCTTCCCATACGCCCACAGGGACCCAAATCAGTCCCGCAACGCTCCCGCCTAGCCACTGAAGGCTCCGCGACGACCCCCAGATGGCCACAGAAAGCATCAATACATCTTCAGATAGTCCAATGCTGTCCCCCAGAGGCTTCAATGACGTTCCAAGATGGCACCATAGGGCCACGCGACGGCCCAATACAGCCTCCACACCGCCCACGGGGGCCCCGAACGGAACCCGAGAGGCATCGGCAATGGTTGTCCGTCGGTTTGGATGGTTTTTACACATTCTCATTCCCTCGCCCCCGACTGATGCCAAGAGTCCGCGACGGCCCATGACGGGCCCAGAAGGCTCCCCCGACGGCCCCAAGCCGTCCGCAAGGAGCCCATCGAGTAGTACCTTTGAGGGCCTAAAATGAACACCAAGAGGCCCCTAGATCGCCCTTACATCGAATCCCGATGTCATCATGGAAGCCGTTCGGCAGTGTTCCCGCCATCCCGCAAGTGAACGTAGTCCACGGTTCAGTCCGAGTCATCTACAATGTTGCAGACCAGCGCCTGCAGTAGGGCAAGCAGTGGCAACGGGCTCTGGCGCTGCTTAGCGAGATGGGGGTGGAAGAAGCTCAGTTGGAGCACGACTGCGACATTCTGAGCCCGGCTAGACGAGCAGGTTGATTGTGTATCCCGCCCACGGGTCAACACAAGTCAGCTACAGCCCTGGGATCAGTGTGTGCGACGACCGCGAGCAGCGGCAGCGGGCTGTGGCACTGCTGCGCGAGATGCGAGAGGCGAAGCTTGAGCCCGACGACGTCACTCTTACAATGCCCGCCGCAGTGCGTGCCGGGAGGGAAGTGGCCCACTTGGCCCAGAGGTGGACACAGCTACGTGCATGAGAATCATACACAGCAGGTTTGATCGAGAGAAGTATCGTTCCCCAACCAGTGCTTACACTTGGGGGTTCTGACTTCTTCTTCTAAGGTACCTGTGTTCCGGTGGCGGTCTGGCCGGCTGGTCGCCGCCCGTCGCTGCCCGTCGCCGCCGTCGCCGCTGGGCCCTGGTGGCGGTCCAGCCGGCTCGTCGCCGCCCGTCGCCGCGGTCGCCAATGGGCCCCGGTGGCGGTCCGGCTGGTTGATCGCCTGCCGCACTATTTGCATTCCGTTTGTTTGTTTTGCGTTGAATTCCCACTCATCCTGCGGTGTGAGGTCCTCGTTTTGACGGGACAGCGCACCGCGTTCCTCCTCTCCTCTCCTCTCCACTCCTCTCCTCCCGCTCCTCCATCCTCCCCATCCCCATGTAGGCACACCCCTCACACGTTTCAACGGAGCTCCACCGAGGACCCCAGTGGCTGCGTTCGAATGCGGTCCCACCCCAATTTCGGTTCACCCCTCACACGTTTCGTGGCCCTGTAGGGCGCTCCACCGAAGGCCCCAGTGGCTGCGTTAGCATGCGGTTCCACCCCCATTTTGGCACACCCCTCACACGCTTCGTGGATCCATAGCTCCACCGAAGGCCCCATCGCATGCGGTTCCACCCCCACTTCGGCTCACCCCTCACGCGGTTCGTGGCCCCGTAGGGAGCTCCACCGAAGGCCCCAGTGGCTGCGTTCGCATGCGGTTCCACCCCCATTTCGGCACACCTCTCACTCGGAGCTCCACCGAAGGCCACACTGGCTACGTTCGCATGCGGTTCCACCCCCATTTCGGAACACCCCTCACACGTTTCGTGGCCCCACTGGGAGCTCCGCCGAAGGCCCCAGCGGCTGCGCTCGCTTGCGGCTAGGGAGCTCCACCGGAGGACATACTCATAATTGCGGTCTTCACAACTACATATGGCTGGGTTTTCGGCCAGATAATTGTTGTGCATTGCTTTGCATGGGTTGACCTTGTTTTTCATTGTGCTTCGCATCGGTTTGCATTGCAGTTCATGTCTTTGCATTGTTTTTCATCGCAGTGAGTTGCATTGCTTTGAACTGCGTTGCACTCCGTTGCGTCGCTTTGCATTGCGCTGCACTGGTTTGCACTGGTTTGCGTTGGTTTGCTTTGCATGTGTTGTGCTGCGTTGCTTGGCACTGATTTGCTTTGTATTGCTTTGCATTGCTTTGCATTGCTTTGCATTGCTTTGCATTGCATTGCATTGATTTGCATTGATTTGCATTGCGTCACATTGCCTTGCATGGTGTTGCATCCAATATGTTGACTGCAGCACATTGGTTGCACCGCCTAGATTGCACCGCATATACTGAGATAAACCAGTGTTTGGGGGCCACGCTGGCTAGCATGATAAGCACATGTGTGTAGCAGTGATAACATGATATTCTACATCGTATGTTAGAGGCAGGCCCCGCCGACTGGATGTAGATGAAAGGATACAGGGAAAGCAAGCAAGCGAGCACGCACTCAACAGTGAGCCCACTCAAGCAAGTGAACGCGATCAAGCAAGCGCCAGCGAGCGAGCATACGCAAGCAACACCAAACATTGTGTGGGTCCACTGCTTTGGAATCATGGCCCTATTACCTTTGCAGTTACCTGATCTTGGATGTATGTAGCTTGGTTTGGGCAGAGCTGCTACGAGCGGTTACGATAGTAAACATGCTATTCGCACCCATCGGGCCAACAGCTCCGAGTCTCTAATGCAGGGATGGCTCAGGTGCTTGCGATGGGTGTCCACCACTAGTTTGAAAGTCTTTGGCGCCTTTTGCGAGCTTCTAGTGCCAGCGGTGGGCCCGCCAGCGTTCGCCGGCTCGAGGGATACGTACTGGTGCTTGGGGGGGCATTGGCAGGCCAGGGAGTAGCGCAGAGTCTGGCGACGCAGGAACGTTATGCACTCACGCTCGAGCCCGATTTGGAGAAGTTCACATTCGACGGCGTCGTGAAGATAACGTGCGACGTGCAGGTAGCAACCGATGAGGTGACCTTTTCCGACTGCTAAGCGCTCTCTCTCTCTCGCTCTTTCTCGCTGTGGTGGGCCTGCATTGCCTTTCTTCTTCCCCTCATATGGAGAACTACTTTCTTGCTTGCTACTGTGTTCCAAACTTCTGGTGTAGTCTCACTGTTCAATAGCCGCTGCCATCGCCAGGATATGGTACGTACTCACATCCCATGGCTTTGCCTGAGCCCTTGACGCATCCCCACCTTGAGACAGCATTGCCTGGTGGAGCGCAGCTTCAGCTTTCCTAAGCTTGTCTCGATTGCTTCTGTTGCGACTCGCTGCTGAACACCCTGCTTTGTGCCAGAACCGAGAATAGAGAGAAGGGCACGAAGCGATCCATGCATTGACGTTTCAAACCTCGTATGTTCACGCCACGCTCCCAACGTTGCGCCGGATCTGAGCTCGACTCACTGTTGGCGTCTGGTCGTTGAGCGGTTTCATGTAGCATTATTCCTCTTGCTCTGCATTCGCGCCCACTTGCGTACCTTGATGATCCTTGGGATTCGCATGCGAACTTCGGAGTCTCCCGGCAATCTTTTCGTAATCACCACAACAGGTATGGTCTAGCATTTTGATGTGGGTGGATTCATGAAGCACCGGGTGCAATTTAAGATTGCATTTATTTTCCATGTTCGGGTCAATATTCATGTTTCGCAGGTCTGGTGGATAAGCAATGCCATTATCCTTTTTTGATGTATTGCCAGTCTTGATTTTGGTCTGCTGCTGCTGTATTTTTGCTTGTGCCTTTTTCGATCGGGAAGTCCGTGATTGAGTTTGAGCGATGGAGTGGTGCGGATCGGTCCGCACCGGCGTGGAAGGTGCCCAAGTGCAGGTCGGGCTGAGGGAAAGGGAAGATCGGGTGACGGTCTCGCTTTCTAGAGCGTTCTCTTGTTGCCGTAGTGGGGCGGGCACACGCCAGGTGACCGTGCACGCAAAGGAGCTCATGATGGGCGAGATCAAGTTCACGCCTTCCGGAGGCCGATGTGACAGCTCGTTGCGTTACCCTCTTCAGCCAGGAATGCTTCCGACAAGATGTTGAACAGCGATAGTGCACCAGGCGTTGGCTCGCAGATGTCCCCGCTAACCTTCGCGAAGCCTCATGGTCTAGCCAGGCTTACGGAGGAGGGATTGCCAGGGCATTCGCCTTGTGGTGTGATCAGG